TCTGGTGTCAATATTCAATGTCAATATTAACTAGGAAAGATAGAGTAAATGTCAACCAATTACACCTCGGAGCCAACATAACTATCAGTTACCTTCACTAAACTTGAAATCAAACCCGCCGTGGTTCGGAATTGACATAACAGGGATCACAGAGTGGGTGATTGATTATCCTAACCTTATAAATATATAACTAGAGAAGATATGAATATGCAGGTCGTATTTTCAAAAGATTCAAAATCTGAGGCATTATGGATGCAAGAATAAGTATCATAAGCAATACACAAATACCAAAAAGCTGCAGACTAAATAAGATGCGCTAGGGAGGTGACAAATTCATATTTAAACTATTGCTCTAATATTTATGACCAGGGAAGTTCTCATCAATGTATGTAATATCTCACAATAATCCCATGCGCTCCCCTGTAGTAACTGCTTGTTATAGTCCGGAAACGTTCCTGTCCAGCAGTATCCCACTGCAAAAAGAGACAGCAGTGTGGCATTATAATATGTAAATTAGATAGAGTAAGCATCAAAGAAGTAGTTGATCAATTTAGTCAGTATGCTTTTAGCAAATGCCAGCAGTATGCTTTTTAGCAAATGCCAGCTTCCCACACTGATATCAGTCATATCACTAAAAGAGGTGAAGTGGATATATGATTGTGCTAATCAAAACATTGATCCTCTACCGAGCCTTCAACATTTTAGTTTTAGCACACAGTACCAATTAATCAAATAATAGTCGCAAATTTTATTGCACTAGCCTGACTGACCAACACGCTAACCAAGAAAGAGAAAACACTGCATCAAAGAATAGCAAAATAACACAACTCAATTTACTGAATAACATCAATTATATCTCTGACATCCATGTAATAAGATACTCCCTCTGTTTCACAAAGAATGATTTAGTTTGACTTGACATAGAGTTAAAGAAAATAAAGAAAACTTTTGAATCTTAAGGTACTAAAATAAATTTATGTCAAATGTTCAAAATTGTCCTTTAATCTTGTGGCCTTAAAAGTTGAAATTAAAATGTTATCAAAACAAGAGAGATGTCATTCTTTTACAAACAAACTAACAAGGAAAGAGGATCATTCTTTTTGAAACGGAGGGAGTACAAAAGAATACGATGTAGCAGCAGACTATACCCTACCAAACTCTGCGACCTAGAAAAGGCAAAAGAGAAAGGCTAATCAATCAATTTTCCTGTTCACCACCAGAATGACATCCTTTTTCCTTTCACCTTTTGCCTCACATCCAATTTGATCACCCTTTCTCTACCTATATCTTCTCTAAATCTTGGTTAAAAAAAAAGAGAAAAAAGTCGCGCACAAGTACTTGTTAACAAGAAGAGGATCGAAGTATTACTTTCTTATCAATACAGACAAAGATCTATAAAATCTAGCACGTGGCATGGGACTTCTGGGCATTGCTTGGGTCAAGCTATGCGGCCTAGTGATATACAAACACCCCCACAGCACACTTTCTATATATTTGTCTTCATCCAATCAATGACGTCCATGCCGTAAGAGTATCAGACTCAGACTCGGCAAAAGCTAACATATAAATGAACCCACCTTTCTTTTGCAAAAGCTAACATATAAATGAACCGCCTTTCTTTTGTAATCATTAGAATGATTCTGCTTTAAAAATAACACGATAGTATTTCAGTAGCAAACAGAGACACAATGGATGATTAAAGCAATAACATGCCCACAAGCATCTCAAAGTTTGCAAGACTTCAAACTAAGAAATGGACAATTTGAGATCCCTATCTAATTCAACTGATAAAGCATATGGTTAAAATGACCTGTGAATCAACTGAGTAGCGTCAACATAAGCTCAATATACTATAAGCTAAATATTGGACTTAACAACAATCATGTTAACTAAAATGCAACAATCAACTATACTTACAATTTGCAGCTTGATTGTCTTTCCATCCTGCTCCACAGTCCTAATTTTCTACAATCCAAAAATCATTCCAAAACTTTCATAAAAGACAAACAGCAAGTGACATAAAACAACTAGAGAGACGAGATTCTTACGAAATCAACTCCAATGGTGCTAATGTAACTGTCAACATACGAATCATCCTAAAACATAATCAATCAAAACAACAAAATCATATCCATCAAGCAATAAATCATTATTATCCTACAAAAAAAAGAAAAAATCACCGGCATTTTACCCTAACAAAGAAAATCGAACAATAACATACGCATTATACAACAGAAAATTCATTCACACATACAAATAGAGTACAATCAAAAGAGATCAAAGTAAAATACGTGTACATACGGCGAATCTGAGAAGAAGACAGGATTTGCCGACAGAAGAATCGCCGATCAACAACAGTTTGAACAAGTAATCGCTGCAATCAAAGAAACAAAAAAAATCAGTAATAAAAATGAAAAAAATCATGGAGAAAAGTTGCGATGGAATATGCAGAATATCGTACTATTCGTTGCTCATGTTTGCTTCTTCCCTTCTTTTGGCTAACAGAGTTTTCTGAGAAGTGAGAGAGATGATTTCTCTTTTCGTGTGTATGTCTTTATTAGTCGACTCTTTGGTTTTTTATTTCTTTTTATAATTAATACTCCTATCATTTTGACGAAAAAAGAAAATAAAAGAAAATTTAAAAAGAAATGTCTCAAAGTAATATCGAAGAAAATGATTACCTACCTGTCAATTCATTCCATTATTATTATACCACTTCTCAATTTAGATGTCATTCGGTGCGTTACTACTAATATAAAGATTAGTTATGCTTTTATAGTTGGATATGTATTGAAAAATAATCTTAATAGGGATAGGTTAAGGATAAAATTCATCTTTATCGGTCTTTTCAAAGTCTTTTAAAATAGCTTAGTCGACTTTGTATTTGCAGGTCGCTTTTGATAAATTCATTTTATTTTAAAACACGTTGAATATCAAAATATTAGCCATCAAGAGAGGGAAATTTTTTTTTTGATTTAACTTAGGTCAGTCTCATTATTCACATAATTCTTTCGACTATTGATTGATCGTGCGAGTATGCATCCAACACATTATGAATGAAAAAAGTGTTTATCCTGGATTCTCTTTCTCAAAGAAAAAATCTTCCTCGTTTTTTATACAAACAAGATCCGATCAAATGATGTCTACAGATTGATAATGAGAGGATTCTTAGGATTTGCTTGCTCGAAAGAAGGTGCCGATTAAAAAAATAATTATTTTATTTTCTTTTTTGCTTTCCCCTAGCCGCTGCAGGAAAGGAGTCATCTATCTGCCTAACTTTGTTAGATTTCTCCCAATGTATTCATAAAAGTTTCACGAGTGCATTGGTGGGTAAGTTTGACAACTCATCAAAGTGTGGAACCGAGTTTCTTATTTGGTCAATTTGATCTAAAAGTTATCGGACAACAATTTTGCTTGGTGGTACCCCTCTTAATGATTGTTGACTCCATATAAATTTTTTGTCGGAAGACTCTCCCTCCATTTATTAAGTCAAGTAAATATGGTGAACTATTTTCTAACTAAATTATAGATTCACAAATAAAATAATTTTAATAAATAATAACTATTACGCATGTTTGATGTAAAAATTTTCTGATGCTATTTCAATACGAAATTACCATAATTTTATAAAAATATATTATGGATATTAATCAAACTTAAAAGGAAATAACTGACAATGAAAATTAAGTTGAAAAGTTATTGAAAATTATGATAACAAATGGGTTTCAAGAAAAATTAAAATAAAATACTTTTCGAAAAAATACAAATAATTCTTTAGAAGAACTAGCACGAATATTCTATACAATATCCTAAACATTTACTTAAAGTTTTTCCAAATTTAAATTTTTCTAAACAAAAAAGAAGAAAAAAAACAAATCCTAAACAACATATCTTTGTTTTGTCTTCCATGTGATAAGAAAATATTTTTTTACTCAATTGGCAATGGATAGGTTGGCCATGACTACTACACGTCCAATTTGTTGCACCAATTTAATTAATTAATTTGCAAAAATGATTTGATAGGTTAACTATATGTTATTTTAATATGGTATTTTGTCAACATTATGTAAGTTATTGAAGTAGTCACTTGAAAGGGAAATTTGTCTTGTACTCTAAGCCTCATTAGGGAAAAATCATTCCTTGCCCAAACTCTGTCCAACAATGAATATTCTTCCTCCAATCATTTAGAATGATCAAATTCTATCCCTTTCCTAATTCACAACTACTTGTTTTATACAAAAAAAAATATATAACAATATATCTATCATGTGAGTAACATTTTGATGTAGAGAATAATATGTACAGACAGGAGATAATAAATATCTTATAAAATTAATTGAGATGCATACAGACTAATCTGATTATAATTGTTATCTAAAATAAAAATTTAATAAATCGTATATATGCTCTTATTAATAAACCAAAGTTTCATAGGGCAATTTTTGCATGGATTTAAATGTACGGAGTTTTAAAAAAATGTTTTAACACATATTTTTAAAAAATTAAGTCTTTCTTCTTCCTTTACACTATTTCAATCCAAACAAAATTTCCCTAGTTTTAGAAAACAGAGAAAAGTCATCATGCATGACTGAGCATAAAGAGAAAATCTCGTAAATGATAAAAATAATTAAATACGTTTTATATAATAAAAAATTATTTTTTAGATAATACTATAAATGGTAAATATTTTTTATTTGTTATATATTTATGTAAGTTTTGGAAAGGAAATTATTTTCTGTTGGATGGTTACCCATTCAAAAAGGAGAAATAACTTCTTTATATCATGGATTGGATGTCATTTTTTCTTATAATTATATTAGAGAAATTATTAACTTTGAATGTAATATCAATTGGTTCAATCGTGAGACATTAATTACTATCAACGACGGCTACATTATAGTTAATTACTACTACTACTATTATTATTAATTTATTATTTTAATTTCTACTATTATAGTTCTTTTAAAGAATCTTTTAACAAACCAAACATAGATTAAACATTCTTTAAAAATAATATTTTTCATTAGAAAATAACTTTTATGGTACCAAACATATTACATGAAAAAAGTAGTCTCAACTTAAATGAATAAACTAAAAAAGAAAAAACTATGTCACTCGGGCTCACACTGTCTTGACATGCACCCAGTGACATTTTTCAAGAGCCTGAGTAACATAGACCGACAAGAAAAAAATTAGGGGCAAAATGGCATATTCAAGTTGCTCTTATGACTAGGAATTGTAAAATGCCTTAACCTTCCAACTTGTTTCTTCATATATCCCTCACACAAAAACTCCCTAGAAAACTTGTCCTCAACATCCCTATTCACATCATGAACAAACACATGTGTCTCTCCATCTTCTCTGTTCCTTGCCATCATTCCTGCTGTATAAATTGCTGTCATTCTTCCTGGTGCATCCTCATAGTACCCTGTTGGTGCATCCACCATAATTAAATCCCATTTAATATCATAAATTTCACTAGGTAGACCCTTTAAGGCAAGTTGACACATTGAATATCTAGGATCAGCTATAGTTGTACACTCTGTTCCTTTCCCTGCTTCTATTAAAACATTTGCTTGATTCACTTTACTGTCATATGTAACATGGTAGGACTCCAACATGGGAAATCTCTTCTTGATTTGTTGTATCCATGCCTCGTCTTCTTCGAGGAAGATGGTTCGTCCTCCATAGTTTAGTGTGTGCCACATTAGGCTATCATGTCCAAGACCAAATACAAGGAAGTTGCTAGGTGATTTCTTGTCTAGAATCTTGGATGTTACTAATATCTCTTTCTGTGTTTGTTGTGGTGTGATAGCTGAGGTTGCGTAGTGAATGAGTGATTTCGCTACTGATGATGGAATTTTATTGCATTTTGGTGATGAACAAGTACTTTTTGATGATGATGTACTTACACTGGATAATGTTAATGTTGATCTCAACACAAAGAGAAGTAAGAAAGCTATGAAAACACATATGAGAAGAAGCTTTAGGCTAACTGAACCATGTGTTTTTGGCCTCATACTTGACTTGGGAGTTGTTACAAGTTTTGTTTAAAACTGGGAGGCAAAGAGATATATATATTGAAGATTTTTGATGTAAGATAAGAAAATTCTGGATGAAGCAATGTAGTTGCTGGTAGATATGAAGAGGTTTGGTAGAGAGTGATCTACTTGATAGTGATGGAGTTTGTTGATATTAAGAAGAATGTCAATTTGTTATGGGGCAAGAAAGAAGCACAAAGAGCTTTATGGAATCCTTTCACCAACAAATAATTCAAGTGAATTTCATTTAGTGTAGCTTCAATATATGATTTTTGTATTTGAATGAAATGAACTCGAATAGAGTGGGTAGATTCATATAATCGATCCCTACTAGTTTGGCGTTGAAGGTTCATTGATTGTAAGTGTTACACTTCAAAATGAAAAAAACAAAAAAAGAAGTAAAAGTTTCATAGACATGGTGACTACCATCAACATTATGTCCATCCATGATGAAAAAAGAATATATAAACTAGAGAATTTGATACTAAATGTTAGATCCTACCATCATATTGATGTATCTGTGTAATATTCAAAATTCCTACAAATTTGAAAGAAAAAAAAATGCTTATCCTTTACATTAACTGTACAATAATACTTCCCAACACATACACCACCAAAAGAATTGCTCTCTTCTCATTCCAAGGGCCATTACAAGAGGAGGGTGGGATATGATTCTGGAACTGTATACTGTGCATTCTGCTAAGTACTACTTTAAGTAAAGGCAAAAAAAAAAGACTCGAGAGTTCCATGTGAGTAAAGCTTTTCTCTTGCTGCTGCGATTTTCGTAGATTAGGATTTATCGTTGCTTCCTTGATCCATGAAACTCTACCATTGACTAGAGTTCTGTAATACATCAAAAGGTTGCATCTTCTTGCTCCTCTACAAGTCACCGACCATTGGTTGTATAGTGTAAGAGAGATTCTGTTTGCCCATTGTCAGTGTGTTCCTTTCTTATCTTGTTTCTGTCAATACGAGCTTTACGGACAGCCTGCTGAATTTGTTTCTCATGCTCTTTCAGCATTTCGTCAATGTTTCCACCAGGTGGCATCAAAGGTCCAGAGTAGTGGATTCGATTCTTCTTTGGAATATAACCCTACAGCAAAGAAAAAATAAATTTATTAGGCACTCTACTGGATAGTACTCAGAGATATGCCTCTCTCTGCTTTTGCCAGCCAAAGCGGAAAATGGAAGATCCTTTCTGTGAGTAAATTTCTCTTTCATTGTGTTCTTTTCTTCATTTTTATTTTTTGGTGTGGTGTAGGATTTCAACCATAATATACTACTAAAAGTGGGCCAAAATAGCCAAGACGTAAAGCAAATTGGAAGTTCCTTACCACCGCAGACTCCTTTCCTGTTGAATGTTTGTCCTTCTTATTGGAAGAGTCTTTCCCCAAAAGAGAGTAGGATGAGTCAGAATCATTAAGCTGATTATATGTCCCAGTCGTGTGCTCTTCAGGCCACTGTGAGTGGGTACTGACCTCCCTGCTCATATCATATCTTGAACTACCATGAGCTGCAACTGAATTGGAGAACCTGGACAAATGAGCTGCTGCACCGTGAGGTCTGAAGGAATTTTGAGCACTTAATTCTCCAAATATTGAAGAATCAAATGCCCGTTGAGAACTCATAAGAGGGCCAAGTCCATTGGTATTTGTGTCTATGGAATTTCCAGAATCACTGACTTGTGATAAATGACCATTATATAAAGATCTTCTGCTGGGATCAAAAGGGAAAACAAGGCCGCCATCTTCTTCATGATTGTACTTCTCACTAACGCTTGTGGGATTTAACTGCTGTTTCCTCTTCTGCATGCCATAGAATTCCAGATTATATGCAAATCTTACGAGGCAGCTTAAAGGTGAACATAGTGTAGATAAAGAAAAACTAAAATATGTTATTGGTGTCTAAGGAAAAAACCTGTATGGATGCTGGTAACTCAGCATTAGCGTCAGGTGCTGGTACTGCTTTTGACTGTTTTGCAGCCTTCCTACAAGATTCAATGCCAGATCCTTTTGTACCTTCACGGGCTTCACCTCTTTGCCTAGAAACAGAATATTGCTCAATAAAGTGAAAATGAAAGCGAAGAATCTCTAGTTCAATGAGAACAAAAGAAGGTCTTCAGTTCAAGAGAATTTCTTGAACTGAGATTATTTGACATGTCAGAACACAGTATTGGTTAACAACCCGTTAAAAGCTGTTGAGTCAACTGAACAATATAAGGCTCTTTGGTTTGGTTACTGAGGTCGAAAACTAGGCTGGAATGATAAACACCTGCAGGACCATGACTGCAAAATGCAAGCTGGATGCCTTTGCTTGGGCGAAGAAAAAGTTATCAGACCTTTTCTCATACTCCCTCCATCCCATTTTATGTGGCACCATTTGACTTGGCATGGTGTTTAAGAAAAAAAAGAAGACTTTTGAAACTTGTGGTCTAAATTTGTGTAGTTGAAAAATATTTAAATGATATTTTAAGTTAAATTGCTCCTAATTATAGTAAGGTGACATTCTTTTTGGGACGGACTAAAAAGGAAAGGGTGCCACATAAAATGGGACGGGAGGAGTAATATCTAAGAGATGCCAAATCCTCAATATACTAAATATGCAACAAGACAACCTACTTTTTCTCTAGATGAAGTAATTATCTTTATTGATTAATGGGAAATATTCCAGCATACTAGATTTAAATAAATGGTAGAGAAGAATCAACAAAAATGTGGCAGAACATCCTCAAGGACAAGATCAGATAAATAAAGCACAAGTAATTAATAGAAATTGACAAAAGAAGAGAAATCAGAAATGAATACCTTCTTGCTTCCTCATCTCTCATCTTAGCATCAAATTCCTTGCTTGGAGGGTATTTAGGTAAAGATGATGGATCACAAGGAAGAGGCTTTGTTGTGAAGAACTGGAGCAGAGAACCCAAACATTAAAATATATAAACAGTATAAAGAAATAAAGAGGGTGAAATACCATAAGCAGCAAATCAAACCACCAACCACTAGAAACTTCTTCACTGTGCTTAATTTTCAGATATCTATAACCACATGATTCGTATCCAGAACTGCATCTTACAACATTTTACTAGCATATGCATAGAAGTGATCCAAATAGAATAAAGACAAGATCTTGAGTTCCCAGAAAGGGAAAAGATTGATTATATGGAAAAAGACGTCTGAATAAATTGACTTCCTGATTTGAGGAACTAAAAAGCTCTCTGAGAAGATAAAACAAGCTATTCACAATCTATAAACTAAGTTTTACCTCATTTTGAAGTGCCAAAGTAGCAGAACCCCGATACTCAGGTTCAAAAGCCAGGAGAGAATCCAAAAGTACTAAAGCTGATGGAGGGAAGTCCTTGAATATGCTGGCAAGGCAGCGCTTATATGGCTGTTGAGGTTTAAAGATCGTCGCATGTGGCAATTTTGATTTCTTCCAGTATTCTTCGGATGGTGAACCACAAAGTTTAAAGATCTTATGTAGCTGTTCCACCTGCATAACAGCTTATCCAATGAGTCATTATTGAATGGTCATTTCCTGACCGACAAGGGGTGCTGGTCAGGAAACCTGACCAATTTCAAGCCCACCCAAACCCCTTTTCTGGAACACATTTGTAAATGCACATCAGATATATGTTCAATGATAATACATGCACCAAGAGAAAGATAAGCTATAATAGAGAGAAATGCACATTTTGTTTGGTTAAATGTGTAATGGTGTACAACAGAGTTGGCAGAATGCAGAAGTGACTAATGCATTTCTTTCTTTGATAGAATTTGACTAGTGTATTTTGTATGAGTACCTTGCAAGCATAATATCAGTCATACTGTTTTGAAAGGAAAGGACTAGGGAGAGTACCCTAAGTTCCCAAGGTGCTCAAAGGTGAAAATAACATTCATCTAAAAGAAGTTGATGCTGGACTAACAATTGTATGATTCACTAAAGTGGCTGGAACTAAAGAGCAAAAGTTAAAGAAAATTCTTTATTATTTATCAATGATATGGTAACATGTGGCAACCTTTCAACCCATATTTACCACTAGATTATGCAACATTGCAGACCACTTTAGCTTCTTGAGAAACTTTAACAACCAAGGACACACATGGAAAACATATTCCCGATGTAGGTAGAATATTCTAGGTTGATGTTCTTCAAATGTATCACTTTAACAAAGAGATGTGGTAGATTGAAGGTTCAGTATGAACTTTCCTCGTCCTAAAATGTGCATAGATTAGCAAGGGAAGATGTATCAGTCTATTCTTATCTATAACCAAATATACAAAACAAAAACAGTGACTTCAAACATACCTCAGTTCTTCCTGGCATTATAGGTTTTCCTGCAAACAATTCAGCTACAATGCAACCAGAACTCCATAAATCTACAGCCACTCCATAGTCTGTAGCACCAAGCAAAAGCTCGGGAGGACGATACCACAAAGTAACTACACGACTTGTTAGAGGCTGCTTTTGATTGGTTTGATAAAGAGTTGCCAGCCCAAAATCGCCAATCTTGAGGTTTCCATTATTGTCGATCAGAAGATTTGAACCCTTGATGTCACGGTGAAGGACACCGCGACTATGGCAGTACTCAAGTCCACGAAGAAGCTGTTGAATGTAACATTTAATCTGCAAGATCACACATATTTTTTAGAATTGCAACTACCACACATAACAATAAAAATATCAACAAGAAAGATCAGACAAACTATGACAATTTTGATGAGCAACGTGCTCTTCTCCAAGATTCTTCTTCCCAGCGCTTTTCCCATTTATTCCTCATATGAAGAAAGAGGAAGGAGCAACGTTAGGCCACTTCTCTCAGGCCTTTCTGCCTTCAGTCTAAAGACCAAAATTATAGCCATCTAAAATTGCCTCCACTGGAAGTAGCCTGCCTTCTCTTGGCTGGTGGATAATGAAGCAGTATTGACACAGGAAAAGTTGAAAAGCAAGGAATTTCACTTATGTTCTAGATGTTATTTGTGTGGGGAACAGGCAGAGACAACCAACCATCTCTTTTTACACTGCAAACCTGAGAGAACTAAGGTGGGTGATGCCAGAAAACACTAAGGGTTTCTTGACGGTTGGCGAGCGAAGGGTATTTGTCCAATCAGAAGGAGAGATGGACGATTGTCCCAGCATGTAATTGGTGGACTATATGGAAGAAATTAGAGGTGCTTTGAGGGCAAGTAGTACAGCATTCAGAAGCTGAAGATGAATTGCTTAGGTTTTTATTATTTTTGGTGTACACAGGAATGTAGTACAAACAGAAGGTATTTTTGATGTTTAGACAACATGTAAGAAGAG